TGTGTTCCTAGGCAGATATTATCTATAGATCCTTCAGTGCAACATATACGTGCCATTCCATGAAAATAATGTATTTCACTAAACGAAAAAGAATTGGGCGGAACTATTTAAATTATATGAAAAGATTAAAAGAGATCGGAGGATATGAATCCTTCATATCACAGACAAAACGCCAATGTTAAATTTAAAAAGCAGTCAACATATCTTAAGAAGTAATTTAACAATATTTTAGTAGTAATGCTGCTACCAGATAACAACAAAAGAAATCAAAGTTGACACCCATAAAATAAAGTTAAAATCCCTAAAATCATAAAATATGAAAATTTTACATCGATCTATTGAAACATAGTTAGCAAGGGATGGTTTATAACAATTTTCAGAATAAAATCAAAATCTATCGTTTCTATATTTAGCCCGATTGGAGTGAAAAACGTTGATACGTTTTTCATGTTGGGGTCATTTTGCACAAAAAAATGATTATTCTGGAAAAAACGGGTGAGGAAATGATCTGAATTTTTACACAAGTTAATGGCTCAGACCTTCATTAGAATCTCGGTAAAATATTTTCTGTGCCATCTTGATGAAAACAAATCCCCAGTGGAGTCCGTTTAAAACCAATAATAGTCACGCTACAGGTAAAAATCATTATATAACTAATATCTTATTCAATTTAATGATACACTGGTGAATCGATTTGAATACCTAAAATGATTGTCACTATTTCACATAAAAAAAATAATCAAGACGATCCTAAAATACATTTTTATCAATCAACATTTAATGCATTGTGTTGGAAATATTTGTAATATGTTGAAACACACGATTTATTAGTAATTGTAGTATATAAAATAATATACCATTAAAAACAATCATTTTCTGTTCTGTTTAGAACATCATATAGAGCAAGGACATGATATATTATATCCATTTTATTGACACATAATTTAACTTGGCTATGGGCACACACAAAATGAATTAAATTGGCAATAATATATATAAATATTAAATAACAAAGACAATCGTTAAAACAGTCAAACAATTTTACCTTCAGATTTATTAAATCCTTACACAGAAATATAAAATGGATCAAACCACTTTTATATATTTATTTTTCAAAAAACTTTATCATAAAGTATAGAATTGTCCAATTATTCACAACACTTCATAATATGAAAAAGAAATAACGTGATATAACATTATTCCTGTCTATCAAAATGATCATTTGGAAGCCGCCGTATCCTTAGAATCGATTCATACAAAGTGCATCGCAGGCTCATATAACGGATAGTAAACCGAATGTAATTTACCTGTTCCTGTTTATTCAAATTATCAGTTTCTTTTAAGCTGTGTATGTGTTTCATATAAATCTGAATTTTGCGTTCACTTTATTGCTAGAATAATCTACGATTTATCAGAGTTTCCTTGAAAACGAACTTCTTGTATAAATGTGTTCACGTTTTAGGACAACATCAAACTTATTTATTTATTATAAACAAAATGATTCTCTCGATATAAGTGTATCCGTATGAGCGTGTAATTGTTTAATATGAAACATCTTTTAATGATACAAAACAATGGCATACATAACATTAATGCCAACTTAATTCATCAGTACAAACGCACGCATACAATCGAATTGACTTAATTCTATATTAAGTCAAAACGATATGCGTTGAGCAGAATTATACCAAACAGAAAATCGAAAAAGTGCAATTGTACCATTAAATTTTACTGTGTTCAAACTTCATCTTTAATGGTTGAAAAGAAATTTTCCAGTGCTATCGTTCAAATTTTGTCGTTTAATTTCGGCAAAGCATACTCCTACAATAAAATATTTTAAAAAAAAACAACAAAAAAACGTTTATTTCAATCTCAAAGAGTTAATGTTTGTAAAGGCACAAAGAAAGGGAAAGCAACAATTTTATATTTTTTAAATCATTTTTTTGACATTCGATGTTTTAGACTGTGAAAGTAGGCCCAATTTGAATAATTTTTATAGATTAGCAAAAAGTAAAAAAAAAAAAAATTTTTTACCCATACAAAATTTTCAACACTTTTTTATATACATTTGTCCAAAACAACAGAAAAATATTTGTTTAGGGGAAAACATAAGAGTAACTTTTGGATGCTTTAAAATAAATCAAAATACAAATCTTTTGAAAAATAAAAGTAAAGCATTCCCGTGATACAATTGGCTTTAATACCATTTAATATGTCGAGCGGCTGGGTTGCAATAGACAGGTTAGCTTTCATCATTGCTTACTAACAAACACTAACCTATATCAATTATAATGGGGCTTCCGTGGCCAAGTAGTTAAGGTCGTTGACTTCAAACCACTTGCCCCTCACCGCTGCGGGTTCGAATTCCGACAGGGACTTTGGATTCTTTCATGTGAGGAAGCTATCCAGCTAGCTTACGGAACGTCGGTGGTTCTACTCAGGTGCCCGTTCGTGCCTGAAAAAATGCACTGAGGGGCACCTGAGGTCTTCCTCCACCAGTAAAGCTGGAACGTCGCCAAATGACCTATACTGTGTCGGTGTGACGCAAAACCCAAATAAAAAAAATATAAAAAAATATCAATTATAACTCTACAAGATTAGTGTTGCAATATTTCTGTTTATAATATTTTATTTGAAAAACAGGACACCTCTGCTGCATTTTATACCATTGCCGTTGGGGCCTAAAAACAAGCGTGCCTATGTCCGTATCTTTAAACAATAACTGGCTATTTCTTTACGATCAAACATGACTTGAGTCTAACCCATACAATCATAATTGGATTGCTATTGATTATTCTTTAATACATAATACGGTGTCATTGCGAAAATGCTTAGTACACTTACTAAATGTTTTAACGCGTTTGGATTACATACAAAATCATATTTAGTTTTTATTATGATCTTTAAACGTAAGTCGTAAGTCCACATACCATACAATCTTCTACAGATAGATTTAAATCCAATCAAGATTGATGAAGTAATCGAATTAAGTTATGTTTTTATTCATATCAATTCGTATCTAGAATGATGAGAAATAATGTTTTCTTTCTCGTTTAGTGTATAAAGCTATATACATGTATATGTTGCCTAAATTATTACACAATTAGATAATTCAGAACTACGTGTATGAATGAAAAATGTTAAAATATTCCCTTAAGAGCAAATGCACGAAATCATAGCTTAACGATTTAAATAGCAGTGTAATATTCTGTTCCGAGCATTTTCTTTCTTTTACGTTCAAACATCATGTGTGTTAAATAGCAGGGACGTTCTATGTTACAACTCATTCGAGAATTGATATTTAGATTGTGAAAAACAAAATGTTTTTATCTTCATATACTATATAGATTTCGTAAAGATATTTCATTAAATCAAAATATAGTTTATTATCCTTCAACCATGGGTCGAACAATTTTATTATATTAAACATATCTGCTTTTAGTACCATCTTTTACAGATTTTCAAAGATACCTGATCAGGCCTGAATAAACAATAAGTAATTGGTTCATAGCATGTTAAGATAATATTTGTATTTCATGCAGAAGATTATTATCAAATTAATTTACTATTAATACTTGTAATTAAAACAAGTTAAGGAGAAGAAGCACTGCATCGTGTGATTGTAATGCATGATGCTAGTTTTGATAACTTCATTTAAAAAATCCAAAAAAAAATTTTGTCATTTCTAATCGAACAATCAAACCGATCAAAATAACATAATCATGTAATATGAAGAATGGTTAGACATTGAAACAGTTTTCCCGTAAAATATCGCATCTAACATGGTTTATAGTGACCTAACGGATACTTAATAAAATTCACAAAGAACTTGAGAGAACTGAAACAAATAAATCGGATGCATGATTACAGTCTGTTTATAATACAGACTAAGTAATAAGGTTGGCAATATTTTTGGAACAAGAACAATGAAAATGATATTGCCGGTAACGCATCTTATAAGACGGACAGTCAATTTAAATGCAAAAAAGACATCAAATTAAGTTCAAGATATATCCACTCAATTGACGATGCAATGCATCGATATATTGAGTAGGAAACATTTAAGTATTTATCCTGATATAAATTATTACTTAATTAACACTAGTAGGTATTCCCAAATCATTCCGTACTTCTTGTTTATATTTGAAGGTAAATAATGATAAATTATTATTTAGTTATAATAAATTCTATATAGCAAACTAACAGAAATGTGTTTGATAAGACAAAAGTGACGTTTTTTCTGTGTTTCTTACAAAAACGAAAAAAAAACAACATTTAAATATGACAAAATGGAAATTTTTCAAGACTCGCTTTGATTGACCCTATCATCTAATAAAGCAAAGCAAAGCATTTAAACTAGTGACAGGTTTGTTTGAAATACAAAACATCCGTTAATGTGAAGGACAAAGGAATTTTACATATTTATACTAATATTTGTGTAAATGACTGATATTGTGCTTACATCATTTTCTCTTTCCTTTATTTAACGCTTATTGATAACAAGAATGATTGATTTACAGATGTTCGTTTTTTGTAAAATTTCTTTCTGCACGTAAGATATTATATTTTTTTGTGATGTTCTTTGTCAGCATATTAAAACAACAATACTTTAAAACAATGCAAGAAAGGGAAAATAAACAAATGAAATTATTACTTTGTCTTTATCTTTTATTCCTACTACAAAGTTGTCAATAAAGAGAAAATAAAGAAAATGAAAATTGTGTTTGTATTGTTTTCCAAATAGTCAGAGATAGATATATTTGTGATACAAATATGTATGGTACAATGTTGTATTGTTTTTACGAAAGCATATCGTGAACCTCTTAAATGTACTTTACACAAAAAGCGAAATAAAGTGTCAACAAAGGATGAAATTACATCACAGGTTCATATAATAAACATAAAACAAGATAATTAATATAGGTATTGCTCATATAATAAATACAAGTTTTTTTCACGTTCCGGTATTTTTTATCATACTGTGTGTTATATTAAATAGTTGCAAAGTTGTTAGAATTAATCAAGAAGTAGAACTGAAAGTGATGTTATTTAAATATTTAAAGATAATTGTCACGTTATAAAACTAACGCAACACAAAAAGAATATCATATATCCATATTTTATGCGGTACATATTTATGATTCTATAAGGTCATCTGACAGGATCCACAGTTGATGCGAGTCAGAAGATTTAAGGCACATTATTATGTGTCACTGCGTTCCTGAAAAAATGTCTCAAATACAATATTTGCTTACTTAAAAACGCCCTTTTTCTGGGACATTCAATTAAGCTATGATTTCGTGGTGGCCATTTGTTAACGGCATATCAGCAACATTGTCGGTGTCAATCTGTGCAGCTATGTCTGATTCACAGGAACGTTTAATCATCGCCTCACGATTGTCACTCTCTTCGATTGAATTTGTCTTCGACGACATCCCTCTTGGAGGCCTTACAGAATCTGCCCTTTTATTCATACCCTTTTTACCGCGGTACCACGATGGAAACGAGTAAAATGCAACTGATTCATTAAATTTGACTCGAACTGGCTTACAGAACATTTTATAGAGGCGTTTCCTAAATTTTCTATTGAAAATTATATAAATATAGAAATGAGCTAGAAATGAACAAACTAAACATATTTCGTAACACAAATGAAAGATTCTGTTGGTCTCAATATCAATTTCCTTTCCTTTGTTTATCGTGACGTCTAAACTATTAAACAGCAAGAAAATACTGTATGGTATCTCGGGAATTAATCGGACTACAACAACTGTTGTAACAATAAAAGATATCCGCCGGTTTTCACTAACTCTTCTAGTATATTGTGATGATGAACTGTCTGTCCGACGAAAGTTTTTCTCTCCTTTTCTTAACTGATGAATAAACAAAACTGTAAATATCACAAGGGTAACGCATGGAATGAAATGTCGCACAATAAACGATATCCATAGATATATACAATCTTCGCCACATCCAGGTCCCGACAGAGCCCACTGACAAAGACCCCCATCTGCTTTATTCTTATACAGATGAAAGGCGTGTAGGATTGGAGACAATAGGAAAGTTAATATACAATATAAATTCACAACCTTTAAACGATTTAGGCAGCGATCGTACGTATATGGATGTGCCATTGCAACATATCTTTGAATTTCAAGAAACAATGTTAAAAATATCGATACTGTATGAAATGATTTAGACAAAAAGTATTTTGAGATCATAAAATTTTGACAAAGTGTTTTGGTAAGAGTATATCCATCTACAGGAGCAAATGCGGATGCATGATTCGAAGGTTCAGTTGAATTTGAAAAAGTAACAGGTGATAGTGTGCCGGTTAAATTATTCATCAAATACGTGCCGACAAAAGGTGTCGTGGTCGAATTTTCATTGTATGAATTTCCAATGTTTAAACTGCTACCATTCTCGTATTCCAAAGGTTGGTCGATGTATTCCACATCATAGTCTAATGGGTCGTACCTCTGAAACACCATTATGTATGTCGGCAAAGTTACCAATCCGGTTAGGGAATCTGAAATTGCTATCGCCGAAAGCACAATATTGGTTGGATTTCGCATTTTCTTCTGCATTAACACTAATACTATTAAAATATTTTGCAGCAATGTCAAAAGAACTAAGATCTCCCAAACATACAGGTAGACAGGTCGTTCAAATGAGTAGCCAGGATACATAAACACATCTCCGTAATCAAAATTCTCGTTGCTCACCAAAGGTGCAAAAGTGTGTGCATCTAGTGACACTGTAAACTTTTCTGACGACATTTTATGAGTGTTATCGTCAATCACTGTTCCTGTAATGCTCTCTGTTTTATTCATTTTGAGAAAGATTCAAAATTATCATTTGATCACCTTCAATTCAATCGTTACAAATATATATTGAAGTTGTATCAACTCTTTGTAAATTGTTTCCAAAAATAGATGCTGAGTTTTCCTATTGAAGCTTGATATTAATTGCTTAATATTGCATCCATCATGCATTGTTCAAGTTGACTTTCAACGACTGTACTTCATCATATCTGAAAATAGACAAACAAAATTTACCTAAAGATCCATGTAATGGTTCGGTTAACTTGTGCCATATCTACATGAAAGTGCCACTGACGTCTTATATTTTATCATATATCAATATATATATTCCTCATTTTCAATATCTTTGTTTACTTGCTTAGGCGTTCATGGCCGAGTGGTTCAGGCTGTTGAATTCAACCAAATTGCCCATCACCGCCATTATACTTTAATGTGAACGAGCTAGTATCAATCTAGCTTATGGAACGTCTAGCTTATGGAACGTGGGTGGTTTAACTCAAGTGTCCGTTCATGCCTGAAATAATACACAGAGGGGCGGTAGTAAAGCTGGAATATCGCCATATGACCTGTACTGGGTTGGCACGACGTAAAACCAAAACTATCTTTATTTTCTCCATAATAAGAGTACATTTAGAACAGTGATGCTGATGCTTTTACTGTTAATAACTTTTGTTTATTTACTTTGCAAATGTTACCATACTTTAAATACTCTTGATATAATCGTGCCTCGGGTAATGTTGATCTTTTTCCGACTACAGCTCCCTGTATATACCGTCGGCATAGTTTTACAAATGCATGTAATTATGCGAGAAAAATGTACATTATCGTTATTATTGCATAAAGATATACATTTGACTCGTTAAGTTGGAGTTTTCTGTATTAAATACCGTTTTTGTAATGCTTTTAACGCGGGAGTGTGATTTGTGTTAAATGTAAAATTGCTGATCACACTTTTGTCATCTATGTTTACATGGCACACTGAATCGCGCACAATTACATAATTATGAGCAAGATTCGGCATTCTAAGGCTCCTGCGTTCGAGTCCGGTCAGGCGCCAAATTGTTCTCACCGTGTTACACATATCTTGTTGTTAATCATAAAATCATTATGATATTGCATTTGAAATAATTTAAAAATCTTAATTCAATTAGATTAACTTTAAAGCTAATGTGCAATCAGATTTAACTTGTATACTAATTAACAAATCACACATTTCCATTATGCAATAAAGTTTAAGACCATATATGAAATATATTGACTCGCTATTGGTCAGCTAGTATTAGCCACTAGCTGATAAGCCCCGTCTAAATTCACTTGGCATCACCTCTCTGTAGATTCATAAGTAAATACATTTAGAAACCAGACGGTTGCGTTGTTTAATCTCTCTATTCATGTTTGTCCAGAAACTATGATATAGCAGACTTTACAATATAAATTCGAATAAATCTGTATGCAGCTATAAACATCATGTTAAACTTTAGTCACATGTACGAAAATGATGTCAAGTTTGACTGCTCATCTATTGATATAAATCTAAATGCAAATTAACTGAAAGCATATAAAATACGTTAAATAATACTCTTACGATGGTAAAAAAATGCATGTTAATTATTCATACAATAAGCAATAGCAATGCCTCTGCATACATGTTTCCTGCTGTTCATATTAAACTAAAATGAATCATAACTTCCGCGAGAGTTACACCTACTTCTTAACCTTTTCGTTTTTATAAATATATTTATAAACTTACTTAGTTGCGTTTAAACATTTTGAAGTAGTTCCCGCTACAAAGTGTATAAATGAAACGTTAACCTTATCACAGTTAATTTGAAAAGTTTAAACAGCACTGAAATATCTCGCGAGTAATATAGTATCATTTAAATCAAACAATTTTATGCGTGTTTTATAACAATTTATTTACATATAAAGTTTACAACGTCTGATTAGCATTAAACCCTAGTATGATTTAACATATTCAGTAAACTTTAAAATGCATGGCCTTTTCATTGTGTTACCAAAATGAAGTTTTCATACATAACTACATGTTTTCCGCAAATTTGTAACTATTTAAATTGACGATTCATCAATGTACAAAATGGCTCCACGTGTTAACCTATAGGAGAGATTTACCAGGTAGTCAATATGCTAAAAATAGATTTACTGATAAGCACTGACCATAGCAACTGTTGCAGGTCGTACAAACTGTGTTTGTACTACCCACTGATACACTATAGATTTGTACATGCTTGAGTATGGATTTACCTAGTACATCTTCAAAAATAAGCTCTGGTACAACAAAACATTGTTGTTATGGTGTATGTAATAGTGACTCAAGGTACAATGACAGAGAACATATGCAAGATGTTTTTTTCATACCATTTCCAAAACCAAAATCAAACGAATTAAAGTGTAATAAGTGGATAAATGCATGTGGTCGAAAAGACTTTACTGTTAACCACATTAAAAAGTGGACTTACATATGCAGCAAACATTTTGTTGGAGGTAAAGGACCTACAGAAAATCATCCAGATCCTGTTCCTGCCACATATACACCACTTCAGGTATGAACATTATGATAATAATTATTTGTTGTATATAAAATTGGGAACTGACCATATAAATTATAAATAAATGCTCATGTTGTAGTAAATATTTTTATTGTGATAAGAAATTGTTCTAAATAAATCTGTCTTTTACAATTTTATTCTGTGTTTTTATATGAACTTTTAAAACCACACATTTATTACAGGTAGAAAAGTATTCACGTAAAAGAAAGGCACCAACTCCAAGGGCAGCACCTGTATCTAAAAAAACTTTGTTTGAGGTTTCAGAGGCTCTACTTCAGTTAAAGGATACAAAATACAACTCAATTCAGAATGCAAACTCTGATGAGGAAAACCAAAGAGATCAAAATAAACAGGTAAATGCCTTAATTGTTAAATACATTTCAAAATATTTGTTCGCATTTATTGTATTATTTTTATTCTTTGATAAATTTGATATTGGGTCAATAGGGGATTGTATCTAATTTGTTGTTGCAGATAAAAATCTCATTTAAATGCCTCCATAATATCACATGTTATATAATTTCAGCCAGATGTGCTCGAGGACCAAGACATATACTTTGCCACAAAGATTAGATCTACAGATGATAAGGAAACCCAAACTCAATTCACATGCAGTGACCAGCTTTTTAATAAAATAGAAAGGCGCATTAAGAGCAATAAATCATCAATAGCTTTGAGTAAAAAACAGAAAAAGCATTCTGATAAACCAACAAAACTGGAATCTAAAATCACCTGCTATCAGCTTCAGACTGATGCAAAGTTATTTAAATTCTACACGGGTGTTACCCTCAACAATTCAATCATTTATACAAGTCTCTTGGTGAATCTGTGCATAAATTAAAATTTTGGGGTGGATTAAAAAGAAAAGGAAAAACAATAAAAAAAATTACCCCTGACAATCAATTTCTACTTACTTTGATGAAATTACGACACACATTTCCTAACAAAGATTTGGCCTACAGGTTTGCGATAAGTGCAAGTATGGTTTCCAGAATTTTTATCACATGGATTCAGTTTTTGTACAAGACTATAGAACCATTATGGAAAAGGATGTTCCCATCAAAAAGCCTGATACGTGAACATTTACCTGCCACATTTAGGTCATTTAAAAATGTGCGGGTAATTATCGATTGTTTTGAGATATTTGTGCAATCTTCAAGTGACTTCGCAGAACAAGGAAATATGTATTCATCATATAAAAACCATACAACTTTAAAATGTTTGGTTGGCATTGCCCCCACTGGTGCAATTACCTTTTTATCGGATGTATACGAAGGGAGCAAAAGTGATAGGGATATTGTAATCTCCTCAAAGTTTGCTGAAATTCTGGAACCAGGGGATTTAGTAATAGCTGACAGGGGATTCCTTATTAAAGACATTTTGCAGAAAAACAAAGTCGAATTAAACATACTCCATTTTTAGGTGGTAGAGATAGATTAACTCAACAAGAAGAAATACTGACAAAAAGAATTGCACGTGTGAGAATACACGTGGAACGTGCGATTGAACGCATGAAAAAATTTAAGATAATAGGCACAACTTTGCCATTATACTTCAAACCAATGGCTACACAGATTGTTAAAATAATAGGCTTTCTTGTTAACTATCAGGAACCATTAGTGAAGTAAAATAAAGGGAAAAACAAAGTGTTTCTGGAACATGTACATATTTATTAATCATAAATAGAATATTTTCAATATAAAATGAAAAAGTATTAATTAAAATTACAAATAGTGTATGTATAATTCATTTAAACCTTGAATATTATATAATACAAATTTTTATACTACTTGATCAAGTTACTTTTGTATATATGTTTATGTATATATTGTGTACATCTTACAAAAAGTGAATGCTAATCCTATATACTAAATAAAACATTGTAAACCTATTTATACAATGTCTGTTCTCAGTTTTTACACTAAAGCTAGTTCACATGGCATAAGACGACGGGGTACCCTCATTTCCAAATATTCTGGTAAAAGGATGTTGTTATGGAAAGCAATCATTTTAGGAAGTATTTTTTCCCAAAATTCAACATCTCGTTTGATTGTTTCAACAATTATGCCTTTCGGTGACCAGACGATAAAATCACATGTATCAGTCTCACAAATTGCCATTTGCATTTGTGCCTGATAAAAATAAGCATGAGTCTTCTTGACACTCATTTTCCCATCTGTAACAGTATAGCAAAGAGCATATCTCTGTTTTGGTTGCAATTCATCTATATCATATGGGTGGATGTTTTCAAGCACCAGAGGACATTTTATTTCAACAACACTGGTAAGCTTTCCATCAGTTGTGACAATGCCATCAGGGCTACATCCAAGCTCTGGATATTTCGGGTTAATCCAGAGTCCTGTAGCTGCCACAGTTTTATTCTTGTCTAGACTTGCCCTGTACTGATGCAACGCTTTTGGCTCATTTGATCTTCCATATTTCAATGCTTTCAGGTCCGGAAGAGTATTACCCAGAGTAATCGCCTTAATAAGTGATACTTTCCACGGTCAGTTTTTACGTGTACTACCTCCTTTGCTGTTGATGCTGTGATGCGTAACAGTCTACTTCGGTGCCATTCCTCTGACTCAGATTGAGTTTGTGTGTTACATATTTGGTAGGGTTCACTGCCATTTATTGTTGATTTAAATAATTTCAATGCAGATTTAGATCTTAATGTTAACTGACTTTTATCCACATCATAGTCTTCATAATTTATTTCAAGAATTTGTTGAAACATAGTTGATGAATGACAGGAAGGTAGTGTTGTAATAAAATTATTTATAAAGGAATTGTGATCTTGCTGTTCAGGTCTTGGATCAAAGTGGATAATTCTGTCTGGTTTCATTTTTTTGCTATATGTGGCTGTGTGGCAAGGCTGAGGATCACGCTTGTTCTTCCTCCCCTTGTTCCAACTACACAGTTTAGATGTTGAAGCTATGTGATGAACATATTCCAAAATGTAGTCATCAACGGCAAATAATAAAGCTGCAATATGATTACACCTACTCATAGCAGAAGCCTTACAGTCACATGAGGCATCAAGCACTTTCCCGGAATTTCCATGTAGGGTGATGGACACATTGTAGTGTTGTTTAACAGAATATGAAGCTTGCACTATGCATTTAATGAATTGAATGCCATCTTTTGATATGTGTTTTATATCTTTAACATGTCCACTCCGAAAGTATTGTCTTCCTTTCATTAATGGTTTTGATGTGTTAAAATCTGTTAAATCTTCACTCTCATTTTTGCCGTAGTCAACCTTAGCTGTTGTAATGACATGATAATATATAGTGCCATAGCAATATCCTTCTGGAAGACTTGCAGAAGGGAAGTCTTTCCAGCCAGTCACTGGCAGAACAGGAACTGTTGATGTGTCTGTGCTTTGGACATTGGCTAATACTTCTTGGACTTTTTTTTGAAACCATTTGCCCTCATCAATTGAAACCACAATGTCATTCTTGCCCCCAGCTTCAAGACAGGCTTTGCATCTGAAAAAAATTAAGTAAATGACCCATTAACATTGTTATACTCGCAAATAAGAAACAACAATAATCAATATTCCTCTCACCAGAGGTAAAATGTGCATAAGATCTATAAAGATGAGATAAAATCTATGACCTGCACCTGTGTCTGATTATTTATGGTTTATCCCTCTAACTTATATGAGTCAAACTATTACACTTAGGAGAGTTGTTTAATAACACTAAATGAATTTGGATAAACCTATTTCAGAACAAGTTTTATTATCTTTATATAAATAAAAATATCATACAGTATTTATTTTTAACATACCCTTTATGTTTATTAATTGAGAAAGTATTATATACAGAGTACATGACTTTTATATACTCTAGTGTAGATCTATATCTTACCTGTCAATTAGTTCTGGTTTATTTCCGGACAATTTTAATCCTCGACATTGTAACCATCTCTGTAATTCAACAACTGAATGCTCAGATATATCACATGAGCGAAATTTAGCTCCAGGTACATCATTTTCTGTCAATTTTACCGCATACATCTTATCAGAAGCTGCCATTGTTTACAACTGTTTGTACGACCTTCTGGGAAAATGTGTATCACGTGGTACACATAGCAGATAACAGTGACGTACCTGTAAATCTCTCCTATAATATATCGAAATCGAAACTAAACCATATCAACGTTCTATCAATTAAGTTTAAACTAAAACTTACGTGTAGGATATATCATTCCCAATTGATAGCGTTAAACTATTGAAGTAATTAAAGTAAAATATACTTCATGTGACTACAATAAAACTCCATAAATTCTTAAACGACTGTTACAAAACATAATGAACTACTTCGGTGAACGTTTCACATTGAATAATGTACACGGCGTGTGACCCCTATGAACGGAAAATTGTAACACAGATATTCTCTACCTGCGACCCTTAACGCGCCTGTTAAACCAGGTTGTAAAGTAGTGACGGTCGATGTTTATAAATAAATGTTAAATAATCCCTCCCTGCTTGACCGCTTATCTATTAATACATACTTGACCTTAATTTCAGACAGCTTATCAGGTTGCTCGGCCTTAAAAAAAATTTCTAACAGATTCCGCACGCTGTTACAATATGTTTTATATCTATTCTCAGACATCTGTTATCAAACCAAGGTCATCGCTAAATTCGTCATAACCACACGAAATACGTTAATATTTGTTTAAATAAATGCTACGTGAACGGAAATATTCAATGCCATAACATAATCTCACTGTTAAACGACTAGTACCTAATCTAACTTTATTTCCTGTTTGTGTATGTGAATAATTAGAACATATACATATGAACTTATTATTCTTGTTTAATATCAGCGGATACTGATGTGAACACGTACAATGTTTCACAATAAGATAAGCGAAATGTAGCGAAATGTTGACATTTACAAGCTAAAGGAATTTGGCTTCCGGATGAAAATCATCCACTGCAATAAACTAATCTGTTCTTAACTAAAATTTTCAACATTGCTTTAAAAGCACGTTGTCGTTACATTAGCTTTATACTTATTAATATCTTCTCACTTTTCTTTCGTGTCATTTATTTCTATCATATTCCAATACTAAGCAAGAAGAAATACAGGTTGAACAAGTTTCTTTAATACTTGTTTCTTATGGTTGTAATGATTACCATGGAAAATGTTCGAGATAATTACCATTTTCATTATATTCACCGGAGATACTTAACTTACTTCAAGTTAATAACATTAAATGGATTCGCCATTTGCTATACATAATTGTCCCATCTAAATCTACATTAATTGCGTGAACTACTGAAAGCTTGTCGTTATTATGTTTGAATTAATAAATAAACGTATGATTTTTACGAAACATTAACACTTTAAATAAAACATCAATGAGAATATATAATTCCATCGATTCAATTTCTATCTTCTTTTTTGAAGTGATTATTTAGGAATAGGCTTTGATTAATGTTTTGCATTCAGCATATTTGAACTGAAACTGTGTACTTAACATCTCACAGACAATGAAGCATCTCTGGTACGTGTACCGCCGCAATGGTCGAGGGGTTAGAGTCGATGACTTCTAATCCAGTTACCTCTCTGGCTTGGGTTCGATCCCAGGGAGATGCTTTGGCAGTTAGCACGGCGGAAGGTAGTCTAGTACTCTCCAGGAACGATGGTTAGGAAACAAACCGCCTATATGACTGAAATATTGTTGGGAAAAGGCGTAAAATGAAACAAACAAACAAACGTGTAAATGAGTTTTCAGATAAATTATACATTGGATGTTTAATAACACTATTGAGCCAGTTTGTTTAGTTTTTTAAAAAAAGTCACAGTACGCCTTTTCCAATTATATCAATGACAAGAATAAAAGTGCAAGTGCCCACCTGGGCAGAATCGATACAAAACAAAGCACAGAATATCCTTTCATTTACAAACAATAGAATAAAACACATATTTAACGTTGCATTAATAACTTGTTCGGCCACATGCTCAATCATACATGATACAAACTTCAATGAAACAAAGTTCAGTGATATTCCAACTTAAAAAATTTGACTTCATTTTTTGATTATCATAAATATATACATGATATTACAGCGCTTTGTTCAATTCTTCAGTAATGTCACTGTTATGTGGCTGCATAAGAATGTCTTCTCCACTCTATTTACTCTATCGATTTTTGTTTCATTCATTATTTTAGTATCGTATAAAGTTCATTAGGCGTATCATCGATTTTTTACACGTGTTCAATGTAATCCGAAGGTCACATACGCAAAAGAGTGTCTTTTCATTTCTATAAGATCACTTTAATATTATTTTAGAGCATAATAAAATGTGTTTATTTATTAAACAATGAAGTTGACTCACCAAACTATCACAATACTCCTTTGAAATCCACTTCAGCAGTTTTATGCTGAAAATTAATATCGTTTCACTACATGTGTTTCCGGTTGGTCTATCAATACCACGCTATCGTTCCGAGCGTCTTAAACCGCTATTAACAAAATAACCCACAAATTAATATGGACTGTCAAAACTAATCCATTTTAATTATAATGTCCATCTCCATTATCTGTCTGTGCGTAAAGGCAGACGATATAGAAATGAATACACAGCTTTCTTCGCTTGAAGATGTGAAATAATAACAAAGATATAATGAGGCAGAAACTTGACATATTTCTTTTGTCTTTTTTTTCATTGTTGTTCTTATTGTCTGCATGCAAGTGTCGTTAGGCATACTTTTCATTATTTTCTCACTCTGTGATTGCTTTGTGTTTGAGTGTGTATTTTTTTTTGGGGGGGGGGTATGGGCCGTTTTTGTTTTTTGTTTGTTTTTTTTTGTAATTTGATTACTTTGCACTTTCTTTTCATTTTCCACAGGTTATTTTCGACATTAAACTATAATGATTTCATGATTGATATTACAGTGAAATAATCTACATCAATATTAGAAAATACAGGCGTTAACTGATGTTATCGTATAGTCAGCTTTCCGCTATAATATAACATGGTGACTGTATGTATCTCAATAGGTACAGATAGATATACTGTATTATGGATTTACGTATGTAATAATGTAAAATACGGCTCATAGGTAAAAACAGGTAAAAAGAATGATTTATTTTGCTTCTCAAATGTCTAAGGTTGACATCAAGATCCGTTGAAATGATTTATTCTAAGTCATTATTGCATTCATGCATAATATTATTTGTTGTTATTAATAAAACACTGTTGAAATGATTTATTGTTATTTATAAATAAATTCATGCAAAAAAATATAATTTGTGGTGGTTATTCAGGGAAAGAAATGTTGAAAATTAAAAAGTGATTTTGCACAAGTTTTTACAATATAAACTGCAATACGACTAAAAAATGTGTTCGACTTGTTTTATTCAGAAGCATCAATAAGATATTTTTTCCTTATTGCAAAAGTTTAACTTTTTTATTTTTAAGTAATATTTTAAATCATTATAAATTTAGAGGTGGTTAATTGGTTCGAAAAAATATAATCTTTAATTGGTTTGCAAATATTTAACTTTTAACGATTTAGAGATCGTAGGCTTGATAAAGAGTAATGCTATTTCATACATTAAAATATTTACGGTTAAAACTTTACAAACTCCTGATTAAATACAAAACTTTACAAACTCAATGGATGGTTTATGATAAATTACAATTAATATTTTTACCATTATAAATAAATTGCAGCAAGTATATACGTTTACCACAACATTTCATTTCCAGGTATATATACATTATTGTTTTTGTATATATGCCAATCTAGCATAAACCTAACTTACAAGATATCCGTGTTATATAGTAAGCAAAAATGGGTTTTGATTTGGTAATTAACAGATAACTAAATCTATTTGTGGTATAAACGTGTTCGTAATGTACAAAACAAGACAAATAGGCGTAATATATTCTTTACATATGCAACGTGTCCAATATTACCTAATTAGTATATCAATTTACTTAATCCGAGATATATTGTTACTACATCTAATATGATCAATAGAACTTGTTTACAGGACATAAATTACGGTAAACCATGTGATGTAAAGATTACCGTATTGATAGTATAATAATTTCAAAGCCAAATAAAACAATGTTAAGAAGATATTATTCCTTCACGTTGTAACGATTCATGGTAGAATGCTTATTGCACAACTGTTAATATTAATTACAAGTGTAATTTATTTATTTTATTAGCTCACCAGAGCCGAAGCTCAGGGTGAGCTATTAGTATCAAAGGGGGTATTCCGGCGTCCGGCGTCCGTCGTCCGTCGTCATGCGTCAACAACCGTCTTCTTCTCTAAAACTACTGGGCAGATTTACTTCAAATTTGGTCTGAAGCATCCTTGTGACAGTCACACTTGTACTTGCTCATGTCATTCCAATTGGCCCCTTTTAGGGGTCAGCAGAGCTAAAAATAGAAAAACCTTTAAACATCTTCTTCTACAGAACTAGTGGATGGATGATCACCAAACTTTGTCTGTAGCATTCTTATGTAGTGTTTTATCAAGTTTGCTAATATTATTTTGATTGGCCCCTTTTAGGGGTCTCTAGGGCTAAAAATAGAAAAACCTTTAAACATCTTCTCCTTCAGAACTAATTGATGGAAGATTGCCAAACTTAGTTAGTAGCATGCTCTGGTAGTGTTTTATCAAGTTTGCTCATATTAATTTGATTGACCCCTTTTAGGGGCCGCAAAAGCTAAAAATAGAAATACCTTTAAATGTCTATTTCTAGAGAACTAATTGATGGAAGATCACCAAACTTTGTCTAGCATTCTTTGGTAGTCTTTTATCAAGTTTGCTCATATTAATTTGCTTAGCCCCTTTTAGGGGTCTCTATAGCTAAAAATAGAAATACCATTAAATGTTTATTTCTAGAGAACTAATTGATGGATGATCACCTAACTTTGTCTGCAGTTTTCTTGGGTAGTCTTTTATCAAGTTTGCTCAAATGAATTTGATAAGCCCCTTTGAGGGGCCGTTTAAGCTAAAAATAGAAATACCTTTAAATGTCAATTTCTACAGAACTAATGGATGGATGATCACCAACCTTTGTCTGTAGCATTCTTGGGTAGTTTTTTATCAAGATTGCTCATATTAATTTAATTGGCCCCTTTTAGGGACCGCTTAAGCTAAAAATAGAAAAACCTTTAAACATCTTCTATTTTAGAACCAATTGATGGATGATCACCAAACTTTGTCTGTAGCATTCTTGGGTACTCTTTTATCAAGTTTGCTTATATTTATTTGATTAGCCCCTTTTAGGGGCCACTAAAGCTAAAAATAGAAAAAACATTCAAACATCATTTCCTACTGAAATAATTGAAAGATGATCACCAAACTTTGTAGCATAATCTTAGGTAGTCTGTTATCAAGTTTGCTCATATTATTTTGATTAGCCCTGTTTAAGCTTAAGCTTAAATACCCCAGGTCATGGCATTTCTTCAAATTATTGTTTAAACATATGCTATGCTCAAATCTAATAATTAGAATATATTGACATTGCAACACTGAAAAGCAGTTGTTTCTGGTGAGCGACTCAGGGCCATCAGGGCCATCATGGCCCTCTTGTTCTTTATTATTGTCTTATCAATGTGATACAACATATCAAAG